AAAAGTACTTATCCAGGAGCTATGTACATGGAAGACCTAGTGGGCATCATCAGTTGTTTAACAAAAAAAAATTGGTGGTTACCATTGACCTTTCTCCTTTTGAAAAATTGTTAAGCTCATTTTATGTTAGGAAAAAAACTAGCAACCAGAATACAATCATGTATTTTCCATACTATTCTACAGTTAAGGATGTTGATCATGAAAGAGCTGTGGCAAATTTTCCATGTAGTGATGTAATTGTTTTATAAGCCAACACCTGGATCAGTTGGATTGTCATGTGATTGAGTAGACATGCTATTAAATAACATGTTGTGATGCACATATCTGTGAGCCATTGCATGGTATCAGCCGAAGATCCGTCCTGGTTTGTACTTTTTGGTGCTGTGCTATCTTTAGCATGTGCAAGTTGTGCCATGTTTTCGAGTATCTGATGCTTTATCCCTTGTATAAAAGAAGCAGCTTTGTTATGCTAATCTGATGTCTGAAGCTACTCTAATTACTAAGAGAGTAGTAAACTCTAGTACTAAAGTAGCAGTAAGCTACTAAGAGAGCTTTCTGGCTATTGGGTGGTATGAAATAAATTAATAATTTTCAAGCATTCTAGGAAGTCTATTCTCAGACATCATAACAGATGCCACGAGAACCACTTTCTTTGGTATTGTGCAATAGTTGCATATCCCGCAACTGTATTAAACTGTATGGACTTAGGCTACAGTCCCAAACAGACTTATACAAAAAGGGACTGGACAATTCATAGAGGATAAGTTTCTCAGTGGCTAGTCCTGATGCCTACATGTGGCCTCCCACATCAGAGGCACTATGCCTATCTATATCAGTTGCTGAGGAACATTGATGGGGAGATGCTTCTGCATGTATGTCCTACTGGTGGGTTTCCCAGAGACGGTTGGTTGGCCACTGTGTGTGCAGAATGCTGGACTAGATGGACCCTTGGTCCAATCTAGTTCTATTTTTGTTACAACCAAGCAAGCTCCACTGAACATAGAATTATAAACTAGAACCAAGTCATTAAAATAGCATTATGCTGCAATGAATGTGATGGGACTAGCTTCTGAGTAAACACCCACAGGATTGGGTTGCTGCAAGGCTAAACACCCTAAATAGAGAATAAGTTGCACTGAACATAATTGAACTTGATACTAAGTGCACATACAATAAGTTTGCACTGCACATTACCCAAAAGTTTGCAATATCAGGATAGATTTTCCTAGAATGTTCCTAGAATTTCTAATGAATCACCAAAAGAGAGTCTGGATTACATGACTTTCCCTGATGTGTACTTATAATTCCTAGGCAAATATTTCAGGAAGAGTTCTTGTGTTAAAGGTGGCCGGATGGGAGTACAGAATTTGTCCTAGCAGAAGAAAGGTTAGTTTACAACAAATCACCCTATTCCTCGAGGTATTTGAGCAGGAGAAGCAGCAAACTGAGTGTACATACAGAAAAGTTTGTTTTGATTTGAAAATGGTGATACACTCCACATTATGAGCAGCTGAGCATGGAGCACTTTAGGTTGGCCTGAAACTATGCATTAGGCAACTCCATGCAGAAAGAATGCCTGACTGTGGCAACTATCACATGTTTACACAAAAATGGAGACTCAACTGACAATGAACTCCTAAGAAACATTTCAGGGGAAAACATCCTTGAAATTGACCTTACTAGGAATAACACTTAAGAATGATAGGATAAAATCAGCTGAGTTGAGCAGAAAAGTAGGACCACGGATGTGCATAAACTCATGTAACTGTGTTTACCATGACAATCCTGACCATTGCAAGGTTTGTTAGTACTTTACAAATGTCTGGACTGTTTTGTCACATTATTTTACAAATGTGGCCTCTTTACAAATATATTTATTTTAACTTGTTTTATAAACTGAGGCAGAAGATTGAGCAAAATGTCTTCCCAGTATATATATATATGTGTGTGTATGTATGTACACGTACAGGTGATACTTTGAGTTTGTGGAATATTACATTATTACCATATCTTCATTTACTAAATGATTGTGTACCACAATCAGCCTTTGATATCTTCCAAACACCCAATCTTTAAGGAACAGGAATCTTTTAGCAATAATTTCCACTCCTTAACAAATCCCAACTCTTATATTCTTTATACCTGTTTGGAATAAAAGTATTCTTAGTATACTTCGTATACTGATGATTTCACAAAATTGGCCCCTTTTTAACAGGTATGGATAGGAAGCAAAGCTAATACTTTTATGGTGTTATTTTGAGTGTGCAAGCCCATTAATATATTGCTCAGGCTATAGCTGGAAATGTAATAATTGACATGTGAACAATTTTTAACATTTAAAGTACTTAAGACAGGAATACCTTGTACAGACAAGAAACTGGGATCTGCCCACTTGTTTCAAAAGTGTAAATGCCAAATCCCAAAGATTTGTACAACTAGCTCTATGCACCCTTAGGTACTCTGGACATAAATCTCAAGAAGCAACCCCTCCATGCAGAATAGCAAATCATTTCTGCAATGGAAAGGATCGGGAAATTACATTAGACTCTTCTGCTCAAGGGAAAAAATAAGTTCTAGGGATGGTATTTGATCAGTATCAAGACAAGTTCTAGTATGAAACTTCTTGACAATTTAGTAAAGACAGAATTTGAACAATTCTGAGTGTATTTGGTAAAATACAAATTTAAATATAAAATATAAATTTAAAGAGGCACATAGTTACAGATACAGCCCCATCACTGGAATTGTGTGGAGAAAGAATAAAATCATCACATTTTGACATCATAACTGCACTGAAATGAAAATGCTTTTCTGTGAGTTTAGATTTATATGCCACCATTTTGTGAGTCTAATATTTTCATTTTTCATGATGATGTTCTGCAGAGTAATCCACCTCAGTTCAGAAAGTTAAAAGGTACACCATAATCTACAATTGATAGGATGATGAATTAACACATAGCAATGTTTCCTCCCTTGTTTGATAATAGACTGACATGTACAGTAAACTGTTAATGTTTGTTCTTTTGGTTTTTTTAAATTCATGTTTGGCATCCAATAGAATAGATCTTTATGGTAGGTGTGGAAAGAAACAGGCACAGTTTGCTTATACAAACTCACACCAGCAAATTCTAGTTGAATTGGTATCTTTATTTTTTTTAAGATGGATGAGTTATATGTTTCCTAATACCATGCAGGTTTCAAAGAACAAAATAGATTTTGTATTATCCAAGTTAACATGCTTTGGAACTGCTTACAAATGGAAAGCTCCGAGCACCCCTAATTTTAAAAAGTGTGTAATTATTCTTTTCCTTCTTGATGAAATTTAAGAGGGAGGGAAAACACAGCAAGGGTAAAATGCCCCCCTCTCCTTTAAATTTCCATGAATGTGGCAGGCTGATTGCATAATCAAAGCTTGCCTGGCATAATCAACAAGCGACTTTGTCAGATTTGGCTGAACATTTTAAATTGCTGATAATTCCTGATGTGAGGTGCATTTTTAAGCATCTCAGTGTTAATCATATTACAGGCACCGGCCAAACAGAAAGCACATCTGCTGCATTAGTGTGAATAGCCCTAAGGGAAGCCATTGAGCCAGCCTTCCCCAGCTTGGATCTCCCTAGATGCCTTGGATGCAACTCCTCTCATTGTAAGCCTGCATGGTTCCATCTAGTCCAGCATTCTGCACACACAGTGGCCAACCAACCGTCTCTGGGAAACCCACCAGTAGGACATACATGCAGAAGCATCTCCCCATCAATGTGAATTATGGGAACTGCAATGTAGCACATCCCGAGGGCTCCAGATTGGGGAAGGAAATACAGAGTGATCCATTTATCTACTCTGGGGAGTCATAGAAAGGCAAGGCATAAAGGTGCTTGTTTTCGCACAGCTTCGGTATGATGTTCCCTAGTCTGCTAATGTCAGCCAAGGAGTCAAGACGGGGATCTAGCACAAGGCTACCAAGGGTATGACCTGACTTATTGCGTGGTCGGTGAGCAGATCAGGTGAGCTTAGTGACTGAGATGGGCGAGCCTTGTACAGAAGCAGCCTGCAGCCGGCATGCTTAGATACGTTTTGGAAGCAGGTGCATTTGAAAACACTTGCACCGTTTATGTTGCTCCAATACCTTTATTACTCAAACAATATCCTCTCCCTTTATGCAAACTTTCGACGTTCCCAGACGAGGCAACTTAAAAAGATGGGGGAGGGGGGTGGGAAAAGTGAGCAGATGATGTAGTCATATGAACTTTGGGAGGGGGTCCTCTTCTCTTTAGGGAATGCGAGGCTACTTTTTAAAAAATCCATATAATGAGGCTTGCCTATGCTCGATGTAGCTCGAGAGGGCTGCAACGCACTCATGAAGCGGGGCATCCACCAAGCTCCCGCCACCTCGCAAACGCCAGGCATCGTATGGCTTGCCCCAAATTTCTCGTTTTCTTTCCCCTTTGAACACGGGAGCAAGAACACCGCTGCTACTGCCTTTCTTCAGCGTCTTTCAGACGCCGTCATGCGTTCCTTGCGGGCGGGGCTCGCGATGCATTTTTCCAAGCCTGAGTTGGACCCCCTCCCCAGCCTACCTACAAATAAATAACTAGTGCTGGGGCGGAGCCCTGGATTCAAATACAAACGGCAGGGCTTAGCTTTGACCCTGCCCGCAGCTCTGAGGCGCTCCCCGAAAGCGGCGGCACACCTTCTCCCTCTTCCGCCGCCTCCAAGCCGGCCGCATTGTGACGCCAGAAGCGCCGCCCCTTCTTCCCGCTTCAGCGCGGCAGCCCCCGGCCATGCCGCCCTACGTATGCCACTCAGGCAGGCGGGCAGTTGCCAACTTTCAAACAATGCGTGCGCGGCCGGCTCCGCCCCGGCTGGGCGGGGAGAAGGGCTGGGCTCCGAGCCTCCGCCAGCCCTTTGGAGGCGGCTCCGGCCGCGGCGAGCTCGGGGCGCTGCTGCTGGCTGGCGTGGCTGGTTCAGTGCTCCTCCGGGTTGAGCGCGGGGAAACGCCGAGCCAAGCCCGGGCGGCAGGAGCTGCCGGCCCTCTCCCCGCCTCGCTGTGTCCGTCAATGGCCCTGCTTCAGAGCGCTGCGCAGCTCCGCGCCCCGGCAGCCTCGTGCCTCGAACCTCTCTGCGCGGCGTGACGGACGGAGGGGGAGTGATGGGCAACACGGTGCACAAGACCTTGGCAGGTAAGCGGGCGGGGGGCTGCTCGGCCAAGGCCGCCGCCGCCGCCGCCAGCTCCTGCCGAGGTCTCGCTGGAGCGGGCTCTAAGGAAGCAGCTGCAGCTGCCCTCGTAAATCTGAGGAGGAGGAGGAGCCCTTTTCCTAAGCCGCTAGACAAGGGCGACCCACTGGTCTCGTCTCTGCTCGGGCATCAGTGCGGAGCTCTTAACGTGTTTTGTGTGCGTGCGCGCGCGCGCGCGCGCGCGCGGTTGGTTTGCTGCACCTCCTTGCAAACCGCTGTCTCTGAGCCCCAGCAAATGGCTCTTGCATTGGTTTTTTAGTCTAGTTGGCCAGGCCGCTTTGCAGATTTCCTTTGCAAGTGCAAAACCCGATCCTCTTTCTTTCTCCCTGTAATCCCCCATCTTCGTGTTCTCCACGTGCTGCTTTCTGTCAGTCGCAATTTCGCCTGCTCCGCGGCTCTCTCTTCCACACCAGTCTACCTTCCTCTCTCATTGTCACAAGCGGGCAAATCGAGATGGTATGACTGAAAATGGTATTTACAGAAATCTGACTTTACTGAGGATAACTTATTTATTTCGTCCTGTGCTATTTTAAGCTTGTTACAAGAAAGACCTGTTTCAGTAAAGACTGATTTTTGTACCTTAAAATTTTGAAGGTTACTTCCCAGCAGGATGATCTCTAGCAACAGTCTATTTCTCTGTAATTTGTGATTCTACAGTAGATCCTGGGCTGTTGCCTATTTTTCCGCACTGGTTGCGTGTTCAGGTGACTCTCGCAACCCAGCCTCCTTTAAACTTAGAATTTAAGCTATGGTTAAGCGTGGAATCGACCGTACAGCCTTAGAAAGGGGGAGTGGCCATAGTGCGATCGTCGTGAACCTGTTTTGCATGCCTAAGCAACCGGGTTCTGCCCCCAGTATTTTTAATTAAAATCTTACTGGCTTCAGTAAGGTGACTTCATATGCTTGTAAGGAAGAACAAGCTGCTTTCTCTGAGTTCGCATACATTTTGGCTTGAAGAGAACCATCAGGAACTTTGATAAAGAGTTAAATATCTGTATCCTCACGTTGTATCCCCCTCGTCACAGTCTTGTGTGTAAAAGAGTATTAAACACGGGATGGTTTTAAGAAACTGTGATTTTCAGTGCTGTTTCATGGAAGTGAGATCCTGTGCAAATTGGTGGGACTCCTTCTAAATAAAATACAATTGGAAATGGGTGGAAAAGGGCTTAAATAGAGGGGCTGGGTATGTAGAGGGGGAAAGAGTTGTCTTTTTTAATGAATGTGTTTGGCAGATTAGACGTGTGAGGGAGGCAGATGCTGGAACTGGTGGCTTTTGTTCCCTAGCCAAATGGCATGCTGGCAGCAAAAATTGTCAATTTCAGAGAGAGAGCAGTTTTCTTGGGCATGGTTGTTTTGTTCCTTTCTTAAAGCTTGTTTTAAGTAGAATATGCTTCTAAAAGGGTCTGTTCAATTCACCCCCCATAAGAATGGGGTGTGTCTTCATCCCTGGCAAACACAATTAAAAAAAAGCAAAAATAGTATTTTTGGCTGAAAAAGCCATTTGTTTATGCAACTGTATTGGAGACACTAACCTTATTGTGAAGTGTGTGTGTGTGTGTGAGGGGGAGAGAGAGAGAGAGAGAGAGAGAGAGTAGTGACCCTTTATTTTTGAAGACTTTGTATGTAGATACCACTTAGCAACTCAAAAGGGAAATAAAAAGAGAAAGCACATCCAAAAATCTGTTTGTTGCAGTTCGGTTTGATTTAAAACAAGGGCTTCCACCTTCCTGCTTGCCTGCCTCCTCCACAACCAGTATTGTTCTGACATAACGGAAACTAAATCCTCTTTATTTGCTTGCAAGTTTGTAACTGAGATGCCTCCATTCATTTCTGTCAATGAGTCAGTGGGCAGTTGGTTGATGAAGAATTAACAGTATTGAATTACTGCCTTAAACTTATGTGAGCTTGTGTCTTCAGCTGCCTGCCTCCCACCCTTCTCTTTTTTTCTTTTCCTTCTACTTCTAGCAATCATTTTATGTCACATTTAATATACTTTATTATGCTACTGAAGCTACAGGGACCCTCCCAAACTGCAGTTGTCCCATAGCACAGTTATGAAGCTCCTTTACTACATGAGGGGACCATAAGACTCCAAACCTGAACTTCTCTTGCAAAGCTTGACAAACTTTTTAATTTGGGCTGGGTTTTGGGACTTGGGACTTAAGAAATGCTATCATGCTTAATTTAACATGATTTTCACTTAACATTTTATTTTTTCTCCATTATTTCTGTGTTATTTTAAAGATGGGAATTCACTTTCGTAATAATTTATTTAGGCAACAATCCTACGCATGTTCTATACACGTTCAGACAGAAAAATATCCTATACTGTCAGCATGGGGAATGATGAAGACTATTTTCTGCTTAAATATGGAAAGTGTTCTGTCATTAATTTAATTTGGTATTAACAGAAGTAATTCATACACTAACTGTTTTGCTGAAAGATGTATAGACCCTTGGAACCAGCTCATTAAGGTGCTCAAAACATTGAAGTAAGAAGGAGACGTTATCTGAAAACTTCACCTGTAGCATAGTCAAGGCTATGGTTTTCCCAATTGCAATGTATGGCTGTGAAAGCTGGACCATAAGGAAGGCTGAGTGCCAAAGGATTGAGGCCTTTGAATTGTGGTGCTGGAGGAGACTCCTGTGAGTCCCTTGGACCACAAGGCAATCAAACCGGTTAGTCCTAGAGGAGATCAACCCTGATTGCTCTTCAGAAGGCCAGATCCTGAAGATGAAACTCAAATACTTTGGCCACCTAATGAGAAGGAAGGACTCCCTGGAGAAGAGCCTAATGCTGGGAACAATAGATGGCAAAAGAAGAAGGGGACGGCAGAGAATGAGGTGGCTAGATGGAGTCACAGAAGCAGTTGGTGTGAGCTTAAGTGGACTCCAGGGGATGGTGGAGAACAGGAAGGCCTGGAGGAATGTTGTCCATGGGGTTGTGCTGGGTCAGACAAGACTTTGCGACTAACAACAACAATCATGGTATCACTGCATATGAATAATAGATGTAAAACTTGAGCTAGTCCCACTTTCTTTCAGCTCAGCATATTTCATAGCGGTGTGAAGATAGAACAGGGCGGAACAATTCATGCTGCCTTGAACTTCTTGGAGGAAGGACAGGATATAACTATATGTTAAAAATCATGCAGACAAAGTTACCCATCTTTGCTGTCTAGAAGATCAACACTGATTATTGACTTCTGCTTACCATACAGAGTTGCCCACCTTCTAGAAATAGGCTTAAGGATAACTTAAAGCACTCTAGCCTTGCGGTGAGGGGGGATGGATAAAGGCCACCTCTTTGCATAGGTAGGCATATCCATTGAAAACAGAGAATGTTCAAATAATTTTTCATAAGCTTGGACTGAAATTGTTACTGAGCTCCAGGAGGAAGAATATATCTACTAAGGAAGAATATATCTACTAATCTTGGAAAAGTGGTGGTCAGAGAGGAGTGAAAGAGTTCAACTCTACATCATCATCTAATGGGGAAAGTAGTGAAAAACTCATTTATGCAATGTACAAAGGTTAAGGGCTTATTACTGCTACTTAGTCATTTTGCTAGGCTTAGCTGCTTATCTTTACCAAGGCAGCTTTTGAGGGGAGCAAACTACACAAACCTTAATGCTAATAGCTAGGAGTTTGACATCATTGACTCATGAAGTACCCATGTTCTTATCTAAGACAGAGCCTTCTCACACTCCCATATTTTACAATGTATAGTTGAATTGCACAGGGAAGCTTTTGCAATTATAACAACCTATTACTTGCACACATGGGTACTAATTTGGATTCCATTCTGTATTTGATTGCTCAACTGCAATGCACACAACAATGAACACATGCCTTCCTTGAAAATACCAATTTATATTTGGTATGTCTTTCTGTTTTTTCACCAAATGAATAATCAGTGGAAGCTTACAGCAAATTGTTTTTATTTAGACACAAACAGTTTAGATATGAACAATTCCTAGTAGTAAACATGCATTTTGCTGTGGGGAAGCTGTACAGTTTTTGATATTGTTAGACTCTGATTCTACTTGGAATTGTAGGTTGCTAGAACCACTGTTAGAAATACTATGTTTTTCAAATTATCTCTGTTCTAGCCAAGAGTAAGTGATGGAGAACAGAATATATTACTTCAAAGATTTAAAAGCAGAAAATAGGAGCTTATTGTAGAGCTTGAAATAAAATATATACAAAATGGTGTTTGCATTACAAACTTTATCTGGAAATGCTGGATCATTCCTGTAATATGTTGCACAAGTGATGTTCCTCATTATAAATGGTCATTTTAGATCATGGCATGTCTTTACATTTTTCCATAACAGTTGCTGGAGAACTTAAAATTCTTCTGTGCATATTTAAATTCTTGGGCCAATTCCCATTTGAAAATTCCATGGGTGCTTAGAATGATTGCATGACTACCCTAGTATGTTTCTTTGAGAGCCTTTCATCTTCTTGGAAACCTGAATTGCAACAGCGGATGCTCTTTTGCATTTAGGGAAAGGTTTTTTTCTTGCCCTGTTGGTGAAACAGCAACAGTTTGGAAAAGGTAGGACAAACCAGTCTAACATTTATATTCTACATGCCAGGCTTATTGCTGTTTTCTTGAATCCAACATTCAAAGGTAGTTTGAAGAGTAATTTTATTTTGCTTCCATGTAGAGACAACCCAGGCACTAACCCTCTATTACATTATGTAAACTCAAATAATCAACATGTCTACATATTTCTTAGATGTTACTTTAGTTTTTAGTGGAAACTATTGGGGCAAACAGAAGGTTACAAAATACTCTTCATATTGTTTTCTGAAATATTTAGGGAAAAATGCCATAAAGTCCTATAAGCACCAGTATTCCCCCGTTAGCATGCTGGTCATTGTAGGGCTTTATTTTTGTCTAAGCATGCATAGGACTGTGCACTTAAACAGGAGTGCC